ACCAAAAATTTTAATATTTAAATTTTTTTTATAATTATATATTTTAAGATGTCACAAACCAGGGCACAAAATAGTAAAATCATAACGACGGTTAAAGTACAATAGGCTATATATATATAATATAGAGTGTATTTTGCCCGACACTATGTCACGACTTGAAAACATAGTTATCAGAAGCTGATGAGTATAGTTTTAAGTCACTTCTTACGAATTATTTTGGTTTAATATGAGAGAAAAAGAGATAATATAGTACCTATTTTATAGAGCAACAAAATCAAGAATATATGGGACAATGAAATCTGAATAAGTGGTTTTACCTGATGTTTAAAGGGCAATACCCAAGTTAATTTTTTTCCTCGGAATGTACTTAATAAACATAGCTTTTCTATTTATTGTTTTAAAAATACTTTTTACTTTTATTAGTATTGTAGTTCCAAGCTAGAAAGTCTAAGGTGTGGCGCCTGATGTGTAACATTGGAAATATTACTCGTATGCTTAATATCACTCATATCTGTTCACCCACCAGGTTTGAGTAACAAATAAGGTCAACTTTATGTAGTGCTACCAGTTTTTCAAAGAAAGAGTTAATTTCGTCTGGAGAGAGAGCCGGGATGTGACCTAATAAATTTTCTATAATCTCCGCAATGCTCTCATCCTAGCTACTTATACAAAAACCCCTACTGGGGGCACCAATGTTATCGTTGGTGTACTTATTAAACAATGCCCTGTAAATATGGATGTAAGCAGATTACTTGTTAAATTAAGCAGAATATTAGTTATGTCGTACTTGGGTAGTTCCTCAAACCTAGAGCTTGCCGAGATGGTAGTGTGACTTAGAACCCAGATTAAATAAATGTTGTTTGCTGCACTTACATAATTAAGAAATCAACGACAACACAATACTACTCTTGATCTTGTTCAAATTTTTGATTGTATTTATCGCAGCTTTCATATTCGGAAAAGTATTGATACCGGTATATAATATCAAATCATACTTTACTATTTTAGCTACGTCACGGATGAAAAACAATACGGTACTCTGCAGATTAGACCTAATATATATAGAGAATATACTATACATCTTCCGGATTTAGTTCCTAATTTTGAGAGGTCTATTTAGATCGATTTACTTCTATTTAGTGGTAGAGAATCCCATTGGAATATTAGAACAGAGATTAGAATTATGTCTGCATTACCAAAAGTTGTAGTTGGGGAGATTTAGAGACAATATTCGTTCGTATGTGGGTGTCTTCTTTCATAACTCTTACTATTTTAGCTACGTCACGGATGGCTCTTACTTGGGCATGAAAAATAATACGGTACTCTGCAGATTCGACCTAATTGACCATAATATACTATACATCTTCCGGATTTAGTTCCTAGTTTTAGGAGTTCCACTTAGATCGGTTTACTTCTATTTAGTGGTAGAGAGTCCCATTGGAATATTAGAACAAAGATAAAAATTATCTCTGCATTATCAAAAGTTGTAGTTGGGGAGATTTAGACAATATTCTTTTGTATGTGGGCCTTGACTTTTTGAAAATATCAATCGAAGAGCCATAAAAATTCGGTACACGTCTAGTGGTGTTACTTTGAAAGATTGAAAGGGATTTTTAAAAAGAGGTTTCTTCTATTGTATATGTTAGATCAACAACTTATTTGTTTTATATATACAATTAGTAATGATTAATTAGAAAATATCTTTAATTATTTATTAAAATTATAAATTTTCCGAATTTATTTTTTTTTAACTTATTTGATTATTAAAAACTTTCAGTCTGAAAATATTTTCTGTTATTATATATAAATATCTTAAAACAATAGTTTACATAGGTGCACGTTTTCAAATCGGAATAATTTAACAAGCAAACAATAATTTAACGATCTTCTCATATTAAATGTTTGCGTGATTTAATGATTATTCAATATAAACAATTTTCGTAATAATTCGAAAACATTAAAATAAACAATTATAAACAGTGGCGGTTGTTGAGGTCATTTGATTCTATGCAAAAGTATATATTTATTAATGAATAGATAATTCTATGGATATAACAAGTTGTTCTAAAAAGTGAATCCGCCACTTGTAGTTTCATCTTCATTTAGTTCATAGTGTTCTCAAAATGATTTCATTTAAGGGCCTTGTAATTTATTGCTTAATTATTAGGCACTTGCCAATAAATAATATTATGTACATACTAAATATCTAAGGTTTTGAATTTGTTTATGAACATGAGATAAGTAGTAAGTATCTACCTTAACAAAAATTGTTTAAAAAAAAAAATTAAATGGATATCTAAAACAAAAATATTTTTATTTATAAAATTTATTTATAAATTATTTTACTCATTTTTTTTATTTTTTAACTGTTTGTGTTATTATTTCGGTAAAGAGTAAAGAATATAGTTAAGATGTGTGTTAGAAAATAAAGTACTTACAGTAGTTCTAGCAAGTTAAGGATGTAGGATGTAGTATCTGATCATTGTAATCTACTTTTAAGACCTGTATATGTAAATGATATTTTCTTCTTCTTAATAAAATTTATTTTCTTAGTAAAAGTAATGGTACTTTGCAGTCTATCATAAAACTAATGTATTGCGAATGATTACTAACTTTTAATAATTTACAAAAAAATTAAATCATTATGTACTGA